GGCTGCAGCTACAGGGTGTCTGTGCAGCGACACCAATGCTGCTTTCATTTCGTCTTTCATCTGTCTCTTAAGAGTCCGTCCAACTTTATTGAAGTGCAATATTAAATTACAGACGTTAAACTGTATTACTGGAAGAACAGAGGAAATCAACGATAAATCCTCTCATTAAGATCTATTATTGGTTTGTGGGAGGCTACGCTTAAAGCAGTGAGGTACAAACACTTGCCCTGTCAGATCAGCTGAACATCACGATTAAAATATCACGAGTGTTTAATACAGTGGAGCCGCTGGAAGTGAAAACCACAATTAAATAATCACAAATATCTAAAAATATCATGATTGAATAGTAGTTTTTGTTTACACTGTTAACAATACACACACTACTGATTTCAATTTTAATATATTCTCTGTGTGAGCTCAGATTTTTGAGAACATGCTACCATTTCGGTTTAATGGTGTTTTGATGTATGTCCATCTAAGTTAATGAATTTTCTCTTTTATTTTTATCTCCACAGTCGACCGCTGTCTGTAAAAAACACCTTTGGAAGCAACACAACGAGATGTAAGGACGCGTCTCTTCGTTCTTTACTTCATTTACTGTGTATTTATATATGACGAGCAGCTTGTTGCTGCAGAAAGAGATGAAATACAATTCAGGAAGTCCACTTTGAAAATAGTTTGAAGGTTTACAGTGGTTTAACTTTATACAGCTGTAAAATATCCTGTGTTCCTCCCAAATGCAAGAAAATGTCACACGCTGTCAGTCAGGTTTATGTTAAAAACTCACCAGGTGGTCGACAGACAAAAAGCCGAGCACCTGCTGAGCATGAACAAAGTTTATGAACCCCTGATTGTCATTTTGTTTTCATTTATCAAGACTGGACATTCATTTCTACGTTGCTAGATATTTAAAGGTTGTATATACGAGAGGTGGTGCAGTGTTGTTGTGTACTGATCTTACTTCCTCTCTGTCGGACCTCCAGCCAAAGCTGCCCCCACCAGGACGCCCGCCGCGGCCTCCTCTCCGGGCTCCCTCCAGCGTTCCCGCAGCGACGTGGACGTCAACGCGGCGGCCACCGCCACTGCCCGCACCAGGATGCCCGCCGTGCCCTCCGCGGTGTCATCATCGGCTTCGCCTTTCAGCTCGGCCTCGGCCCTTCCCCCCGGATCCTACGCTTCACTGGGTAATCAGCATTTTAAACATCAATGTCGAATGAACCTTCCTACCTCGGCATTGGGCTGTTCATTTAACATAAAACAAAATCCAAACTACATTTCAAGTGTGAATAACTCTACTTGGAGTGTGGATCTGTTGCAGTCACTCACCCTTCTTTCTGCTGTAATAAAATATTCAATATGACTCACTCTCAGTCAGATGTGTGTATCCAAGCTGTTACCCCACCCGCTCTCCTCTTTGTCAAGCATATTTAAAGCTTAACCTCTTGACCCCCGACCCTTGTTGTGTCTCTCCCGGGCTCGCCCACCCGTCAGACGACTCGCGGTCTGTTAACGCAGACGGTAAGCTGTGTGTGTGTCTCCGTATGTGGACAGGGGAATGACGCTCCTCCATGCCTCCTCGGTGTGTGTTTGACCCCCCATCAGTGCTGTAATGGTGGTCATCTGTGATGGACCTGTCTGTGCATGGACTGTCTACGCATGGTGTACACTTGGAATCAGTCTGTGTAGTAATGTCGGGCGCAGCGACCGCAGCTGAACTACAGTGTTTTAATTTGAGAGTAGATGATTTTACTCATTTAAAACAACAATAATATAATATTACACAATATAAATGTACAGGTTAAGTCTTTCTTATATTCATGTTTCCTGGAGTCTAATAATAAGCTGAACTACACAAATATTAGAGACATTTACATTCTAACTTCTGACTGAGCAGTTTTTGCTGCTGGTTACACAAATAACCCTAGAGCTCTTTAGCTTAACCTCGCTGTTGCTAAAGTTTAATACTACCGTATTCTGCTACTGTGAAGCTTTGGCGACCCCTCGTGGGTGTCCAGACCCCTAGGTTGGGAACCACTGTTCTAGCAGAAGAGACAGTACTTGTTTCTTGTTTTAATGAATCCTTCTATTAGGAATGAGTCTGAAGAATTCAGTGACTTGTGTCTTTCATCTCTCACAATTCCCTGTTTCATATCTTCTGTCATGTTTCCCTCTTTACGATCCCTCCAGTCTTAATTTCACTCTTTCTGCATGACAGAAATGTAGAAAATGTTAGGACCAGCTGCAGTCCTCATGTTCAGTGTGTTTAATCTCTGCTGTGAGTATAAAGGTGTTGAGTGTTTCTCACTCTTTCTCTGTGTGTGTGTCCTCTGCCTCTCCAGGTCGAGTACGAACCAGGAGGACGAGTTCAGGGAACGGTCCGACTGTGACAGACAGCCGTGGAAGAAGCCGAGGGAAAGTCGTCTCTCAGTCTCAACGTTAGTAACTTATCCCCGAGGGTAGCAGCTTCGCATTAAAGTCATTTAAATTCTAATTCTAAATATCTGGAATGGTTCATTTTCTGTTCCGTTTATTATTTTGCAAATTAAATAAACTTGAAAATTGTCCCAATCATTCTTAAAATGATGAACTTGTGTCTGTGTTGTAGCCGGCAGCAGGTCCGGTTCTCCCGGCCGACTGCTGAGCTCCACCTACGGCAGGATCCCGAGGCCGAACATGGGCACCGCCGCCGCCGCCGCCACCAACAGCACCTCCGCCAGCCTGACCGACAAGACCCGACCCCGAGGTCACCGCAGCCAGGGCTGTAGCCGAGAGACCAGCCCCACCAGATCAGGCACGGGTAAGGAGGGTGTTGAACCACAGGGCTGGAAACAAATGTCATAATAAAAGTCTGTAATAATGGAAATGGAAACGCTGTCAGAGCGTTCGCTGGAATTTTTGCAGGAGAAACATTTGAACCAGTGACGGCGTCTTAAATTGTTGATTTTTGGGAGCTTTGTTGAAGTGCTAAAGGAGTGGAGGTAAAATTATGGAGGCAAAAATGTGTTTTAATTAAATAATTACTGATGTTATATTTTAAGGAGTAAGACCTTTGAAATCTGGTGCTTATACCAAAAACTGTCTCACTGAAGTGGCTGATCACTTTATCACTATTGTAGTTAAGTTCTAACATATTTAGCATTTGTCCTAATGTTTGTCGTTTTAGGTCCTCAGTCTTTTGAAGATGGTTGGAAGATATAGTCACCTCTTAAGTTAGCTAATGGTAGCAAAACGCTAGCTAACCAGCAATATAATATAGATTGTTTTGCTCACATTAGTACACTAAACAATTGAAAACCAGAATATTAAAATGTTGTCAGGGTTCTTATACCATATACAGGATTCAGTAACAGTATTGATTCATGAGTTAAACATCAAGCTAATCCAGCTGTACATTGGTCTGAGCAGTCATGAAAATGAAGAATAGTAACTACATAAAGACACTAAAGGTAAATAAGACCTGCTGCTTAGTTCAGAATAGTTTCTTTTTGAGGTCGACTTGCATGCACATCCCAGCAGACATCCTTCCTTCTCCTCATACTAACACTGAACCTGCAGCCTCCCTGAGTCTCATTCTCCCTTCTCTCCTGCCTGACTAACCATCTCTGCAGAGCTTCAGGTGTGTCAGTGTCCGGCTGAATGTGCTACAAGCTAAACTCTCCCCCCCTGCGCTGCTGTCTGTCTGTCTGTCTGTCTCTCTCTCTGTCTGTCTGCCTGCCGCGCTCCTCTAGCCCGCAGCCGAATCCCCCGGCCGAGCATGAGTCAGGGCTGCAGCCGCGAAACCAGTCGCGAGAGCAGCCGCGACACCAGCCCCGCCAGGGGTTTCTCCCCCCTGGGTGAGTATGGTACCGGAGACCCCCCATCACCTCCTTTCTTTGCACGCCAGAGCTCATACATTGAAGTAGAAAAAACATATTTCATATATTTAATTTAGGGTTAATTTAACAGAACACATAACTAAGAAGCGCTCTAGTAAAGTGTATGAAAATCTGACCCTGCACGTGTGTGTGTGTAGATCACTGTTTTTCCTGCCTGGTTCTTTGCATGCTCTGTATTTAAATGTCCACATCTTCTATTGCAGTGGTTCCCAACCACGAGGGGTCATCAAAGCTTGACTAAGACCTTCTTGATTTTAATGGTTGTAACTTAAAAAACATACACAGGTGGCCTGTATCTCAGCATTTCATTCATTTCGGTGAAAACTAAATGAAATTGTTCTTTTTAATGCTCAGATTATTATTTAATATAAACTTTGAAGATATGAACATAAGTTATATCCGCAGAGCCTTTACTGTCTGATAAACAGCTTCGTCCTGCAGTAGAAAACAACCAAAGAGCTGAAAGAACAATGAGAAGAAAATGAGAAAAACATAATACAGACAGAGAATTGTATAAAAAGTTCCTAAAAATATCCAGAAACTCTGCAGTTATTGTGTTCACTGTTTGGAGTGTCCCTTAAGGAAAAAGGTTGGGAATCACTGCTCTAATTAACTAATCCTCTAGTAATTAATTATGTGCAAAGATGTAAACACTGCAGCTGAGGCAGAAATACTTTAGTGTCGTCTTATCTCCTCTAACTTTACGTCCTCCTCCAGCGACTCGTCGACACTCCCGCTCAACCAGCGCCCTGTCCTCCGCAGAGTGCTACTCAGGTGACCAGAGAGGTCTTCTCTGGAGGCGGATCGACTCAGTCAGCCAGATAAAATATCAACTTGTTTTCCACCAGTGTTTCCGTTACCTGGCTGACTGAGTCATCCTGCTCGGTGAAGCCTCTTTCCTGCATGGCTCCACGTCCGCCTCTCGGCTCAGTGTCGAGTGGACAGAGTGGTGAAGATTTTGTTTGTCTTTTCTTTTTTTCACAGGACTGAACTTTAATTTTGCAGCTTTGCGATGATAACTGTCTTGCAATGAGATAGACTTTGTTATTTGTGGCATTTTGATTAAGCAGTGCTGATTCACTCAGCCTACTTTCACGGTATTTTTTGCATTTTTCTTTTATTGTGGCTCATTTAAAGGTTGTGCTGGCTGCTCTCTGCTTAGATGTGCTGCACCATGACTGAAATGTGCTGCAGCTTTCTCTGCTATTTGCTTTGGGTTGAGTCCTGAGAAACTGTCCAAATTTATCTTAATGTATTTTTGACACTCTTCACTCCTAAATATTTTCTTAATCTGACACCGTAATAGATAAATTCCTGTTTAAAAGTGAAGAGTGGGTTGCTGTTGTTATTTATTATTTGTTTTATTCCATTTCAAGTGCCTGATACCAAACCGCACTTTCATTTCTGCACAGTGGAATTCCATCCCATATTCGTCACGTTAATAACACTCCTCTTAACCTGCTGATGTGTGTCCGACCTTCTCTCTCTTCCAGACCGGCTGTCCCATCAGGCTCGGATCTCGGCCTCCGTCAACGCCATGAGAATCCTCAACACCGGCACCGACGTCGAGGCTGCCGTTGCTGACGCTCTGGTAAGCACGGAGGTGGAAAAAAATAGAAATATATGTTTCATAGCCCTAACTTTCTTTTTTACACAGCTTCGTATGTTTGTAGAGTTTTTGTAGTCTCCAGATAAACTTCTCTGCACTATGTTTATAGAATAAGTCTGCTGATATTCTACCCATATTTCTAGCCAACAAATCCAATAAAGAGACTCAAACCAGCAGTGAATGTATCTACTAACACGTACTATGTGTGTCAAAGCCTCTCTGTGCAATAGAGCTCCATTGTTTTTAAAAACTATTATCATGTTGGTCTTTTTCTTATTCGATCTGTTAAAGAGAAACAGAGTAATGGCAGACTTATCCTTCAATATGAAATAAAATGTGTTGATGTTGGAGCTCGTACAGTCCTGCAGTAACTTGTCCTCTTTCTTCCTGGACTTTGTACATTTCAGCTCTTAGGAGACTCGAGGAGTAAGGTACAAAGAAACCTCTTCTGACACAGAGTTGAACCATTCTGTCGCTGCATGCACAGCACGAGCATTAAACACTGACTTTTACATTCAGACATGGAAGAGTGAGCAGGTTGGGATGCAGTGCTTTGAAACTCTGACAGAGTTTCCCAGAGCTATTGATTTTCCTTCTACCGGATATTTGTCTAATCACAACAGCTGCTGTGATTCCCTGTGTCACAGTTTTTTATCAGTCTGGGGGCCGTATTCACAAACATTGTGAGAATCCAAATTAACTGTGGTTCTTGATCTTGTTCCGTTTAAGACTTTGGGAACCAGGGTCCTTTTTAGAGAACCACAGTTTCCACCAGTTTTGAGTGGAACCATTGTACTCAAGAGTGTGTCATTAACAGCGGACAACGAGCTGTAGAATATGACACGCCCACTTTGGTTTCCAAGGAAAACCCACTATTTTTGTGGTTCCATCTCTTAAAAAGTCCTCCTTTCTACTCCCCGTTTTCACCTTAGAAGCTCTCTTCAGGGCTGTGAGGGGAAATTCATTGAAATTGTGAAAATGTTTTATTAAAATTTTTGTCTCTAGGAGCCACTCTTCAACCTTAATGAATACGGCTTCTGGTTCACAGGCTATTTTTAGTTTGGTAAAAGCTGCTAATTTGTCTCATCAAGGCAGCCTGTTAACCTAAAGTGACCGGTGTAGAAAGTCAGCATCAAGTAACCTCATCCATCTCACATCAAATCATCAGAAACCTGCATGACTCCGACTCTGTAGTTGCATGCTAGATCTCCTCGAAGCTGTAGATTTGACTTGTGAAGGCATGGCTGTAGATAAAGAAAGCATGCTGATGTTACTCTTCAGTCACTGTCCTGTCTTCCCTCGCTCAGCGGAGGCCGGTCAGGCGGCGTTTCGAGTCTCCGGGAATGTACTCAGACGACGACGCCAACAGCGACGCCTCCAGCGCCTGCTCTGAGCGTTCATACAGCTCGCGCAACGGCGGCATGGCGCCACACTATCTGCGTCAGACGGAAGACGTGGCCGAGGTGCTGAACCACTGCGCCAGCGCCAACTGGTCTGAGAGGAAGGAGGGACTGCTGGGACTGCAGAACCTGCTCAAGAGCCAGAGGATGCTCAGGTGTGATATGCTCACACATGGTGTTTATTTTGTGAACTTGGTTTTCTGCAAATGCTTAGAAATCATAAAAATGGAAGCATTTTAAATGGGTGTATAAATACTGTATATATCTTTTTATGTTTTATTTTATATAACTACTATTACTTTGTGTCAGGGAAATTGTATTTTCCTCAACTGGTATCAACTTAGATCAGATCTTTTGCAGCCCCAGTTTGTCATTTACAAAGTCTCTGGTCCCGTAACCTTAAAGCAACATTATGTAAGATTTGGTATTTCTTTCCCTGTCAGTCGTGTGGAGCTGAAGAGGCTTTGTGAGATCTTCACCAGGATGTTTGCAGACCCTCACAGCAAGGTGAGACTCAGCTGAGCTCCTGATGCTAGGCAGGCGAGTGACTGAGCATAAATGAACGTTCCCATAAAGGCGGTAAATGTTTGGTGTTTCCTGCACATGTCCGAACTAACTACAGGACGAACTAACAGAGTGTTTTTTTGTTGCATGCCTCGTCGCTGCTCGCTGTGGACTCTAACACCAGAGAGTAAGTGTTAACTCACCTTACTGTCCGCAGTCAGCCGTGCTGTCAGACTTCAGCAGCACAAACACATGAAGACTGATGACTTTATATTCCTCTCATTCACCCCTCGCTCCCTCTCAGGTCTTCAGCATGTTCCTGGAGACTCTGGTGGACTTCATCACGCTGCACAGGGACGACCTTCAGGACTGGCTCTTCGTCCTGCTCACTCAGCTGCTGAAGAAGATGGGGGCCGACCTGCTGGGCTCCGTCCAGGCCAAAGTCCAGAAGGCCCTGGATGTTACCAGGTGGGCGGCTAGGCGTAAAAAATACAAAACTTTTTTTTGTTTTTGGCCTTTCGAAGAGACTTTGTGAGTGTATTGTTTATTCTTTATACACTAATATGTGCACTGGTCAAATTAAGTAAAACCAAGTCAGTTTTATTAAGTTAATAAATAATAGGTCAGCTGTACATCTTGTGTCCGTGATCCATCTTTTAATCGAGAAAGAAGAGGAAAATCTATGCTAACGCACGTTTGAACTATACACAGCTGCTCAGTCAGGTCATTAAAAAAAAGAAAAGGTGCGGAGAAGATTTGAATCCCTGCGTCCTCTCAGTAATGTTCAAATGAAGCTTCCTCAGTTGGTTATTAAAAAGTTATGAACCAGGCTTATTAAAGCTGTTTGTTCGCAGAGAGTCCTTCCCGTACGAGCAGCAGTTCAACATCCTGATGCGTTTCATCGTGGATCAGACGCAGACGCCCAACCTGAAGGTGAAGGTGGCCATCCTGCGCTACATCGAGGCATTGGCCCGCCAGATGGACCCGGCAGACTTCGTCAACTCCAGCGAGACGCGCCTCGCCGTCTCACGCATCATCACCTGGACCACCGAGCCCAAGAGCTCCGACGTCCGAAAGGTAGGAGGGCGGGGCGGCGTGGAGCCTCACCTCCATCTTCCCTCAGCTTTCTTCTTGTAGTTTTCTTGTTTATTTGTCTGTTCTTTGTTTCATTTTTTTGTTTTCACGTCTTTTGTTTTGTCCAATTGCCATTTGTCGTCCACCACACCCCCAGACCCTTCATAACTGGGCAGGGGAGGATTTCTCAGGCCGACCCAGCACCGTGGCCTCTCTGCCTGGAGAGGGCAACCTGGAGGAGAGGTGCAAGCAGGTAGAAACTCCATCCAACAGCATGAGCAGAGTGCGTAAACTCCTCTAACCCAGAAACACTCCTGTTCGGGCTTGTTCACTGAGTGTTAAAACGCTCCAGATAACCCGACAGTGAAGGCTGGTTGACACTAACTGCTCTAGAAACAAGCTTCAGGATCATGTTGTGGTTCTGTTGCGTACACATGGCTGTAAATCAGAAGGATGGATGTTTAAATGAAGCTACAAGTACGTGCATGAGGTGCTGTTTTAACTCTGAGACTAAACTGAACTAAACATAACAAACCTGAGGTTCTTTTTGCATCATTTTTTACCTTTAACTCGATATATTTCAGTTATCTTAAAAAAGACTCAGAGTGGAAACCGCTCCTTCCAGCTTTTGGACATACTGCATGTTCACTGCAACAGCTTCTTAATATCAAAACTCAGCCTCATATTTACCTTCAAGGTGAACTTTCTCTGTTTCTCTTGTTTCATTAATTTTTTAAACAAGGTTAAAGCACCGGGAGGATGAGCTTCAGGTGCTGAAAAGGGTATCTTTGAGTTTATGTTCTGTGTTTCCTGTTGAAAGTGAAGTTACAGTTTGATTTCAACAAATGTTTGTTGTACATGGTGAGCCACACATACAGTATTTAACACTTTCACCAGAATGTATGAACGCTGTCTGAATGGGGCTTAAGTGCAGAAGGTTGCTGCGCTAGAAAGTCTTTAAATAAGTCAATTTGTATTTCAAACAGGTGAAATTATCCTGAGCTCTGTGCAATAGAAAGAACAAGCTTACAGATGTGATGCTTATAGTGGCAAAATCTCTGCACCTCAAATAGACCAGATAGCGACTTAAAGTGACATTGTGTGTGTGTTTGTGTGTGTGTGTGTGTGTGCAGGCGGCCCAGGTGGTGCTGATCGCCCTGTTTGAGCTGAACACACCGGAGTTCACCATGCTGCTGGGAGCTCTGCCCAAAACCTTCCAGGACGGACCACCAAGCCTGCCAAACACCTGTGAGAACGCCAGCCAACAGTCATCGCAATGTAGTACACACCATCGAACACCACACACACACACATAGACTCAATATGAAACTAATTGATTATTGTAAAAAGTTAGTAATCAGAAGTCTGCTTCTGTTGTAATAAATATATTTGACAGTTTCTTAAAAGGAAAGTGCTGCAGAATTAAAATAATTTGTTTTATTAATTTACTTTATAGATTTTTTATTTAATAGAAAGGAAAAAGTATTTAAATCAGTGTAAAATTAAATTGTATATTAGAGTTGTCTTTTATTTTCATTGTGTTCAGTAAAGTGGTGCCACTGGCGCTTCATATTTTATAATTTCATCACGTTTGGTACATAAAAGGTTAATTCTACTGTAGTTTACTGAAACTACAACATTCTACTAATAAACTACCACTTTAATATAACATCTCCTTCTTTTCAACATTTTTGTTGAAAGAAATAAAGGTTTTTAGGACTCAATTATAGATTTGAGTTCATCTGAAGTAACTAGAGTAAATGAATCAGTAAAAATACCAATAATGTTTTATATCACAATTAATTTAATAGTTTGAGTAGATTTTGCTTTTAAACCTTTGTGGACGTCAACTACAATGTCAAGATTAATCCAAGTTGATCTCCAGATGTTTTTCTGTACGTTCTGAGTCTACAGCCAGTTTTTATCTACAGGCGTCTCCCAGTAGCACGTCGGGTCGGACGCCTCCTCGGCAGCCTGGCAGCCGCAGCAGCCCGCTGACCTCCCCCACCAACTGCTCCCATGGGGGGCTCTCTCCCAGGTAACGCTCCCCGCTGCACCGGCCACTGAAGTATATTACAAACAAACATTTAAACTCTTCGTATTAGTTTGATTTTATCCAAAATGCAACTCATCCTCATCACAGTGTATGGAGCCATCCCGGATTTAGACGTTAGAATATTTCCACAAACTGACGCCAGATTTTACATTAAAGGTGTCGGTTCTCCGCCTGGCCGTACTAACACTGACTGAGAACAGTGCTCCTCCTTATTTCCCCCTTTTCTCACATCTCTATCTTCTCTCTGGGCTGCTCTCCTCCTCCTCTTCCTCCTCCCCTCCCCTCCTTTTCCTCCCCATCCGGTTGCAGCCGGCTGTGGGGTTGGAGCGCAGACGGCCTCTCCAAGTTCCCTCCTCCACCCTTCCCCTCCCCTCTTCCTCCACCCGCTGCGCACTCCTCCCTCAAGGCAGTGCGGCGAGCTTACTCACCCAGGTAACCCCACCCCTCTCTTCCTCCTCCTCCTTCCTCCTCTTCCTCCTCGTTATGGGGTTTCACAGTAGAGCTGGCTTTTAAATTGTCACATTTATTTCTGTAACAATAAATAGAGATATTTTATATATACTTCAGAGTAACATTCAGTATATTCTGCAGTTAAGTTTTCCTCTTGATTCTCACTCAGTGTTTCTTGTGCAGTGAAACCCTCTAACAGTCTCATCTGTTGTCACTGCTCCGCTCCGTCCGCTCTGTCCATTTGTTTGGTTTCTGTTTTTACTTCACTCCTGTGAGAAAATGTGTAATCACGATCCCTGTGCTCGACTCACCTGTCTGTCTCTACCTGCTTGAGTTTGTCAACATGCACGGCTCTGCACGTGCACTGTACTGTAACTGTGTGATTCCACCGGGCGCGGCTGCGACGCCGTCACATCAAGTTAAAGACGTTAAAGATCCAGACGTCCTATGACTAACATGACATCCAAGGGCCGTGCCCGGTGGAATCCAGGCGTAATACACACGGAGACAGTGGCCTGCAGGCTCTGACACTACAGTCCTGTTTCCTAGTCATGAGCAAAGTGTTACAGAGCTTTAAACCACTTCATCAGAGAAGGAAATAAAGTTCCAACATTTTCTTCTTTGCTGTTTTTTAAGAAATAAAATGAAAAGTTCATCAGGCAGTGAGGATTGCTCCATGTCTAGGAAAGTGTTCTCAATCATTGCTCACAAGCTTTAAACAAAAGCAGTGCTGATCCAGGACCACTGAAGAACTAAAGTAGTCTTGGATCACCACATAAAAGTATCTTAAGTTCTTTAGGTCAGGTCTGCTAGATATCCAAGATTCTTCTGGGATCAAGCAACAAAAAGTCACATAATCATAAACCTTTTGGTTGAGCCAACTCTCGTGCGCTTGCTTTCTTTCTCCCTCACCGCAGCATGCTTGAGTACGACAGCGAGAACCTGAACTCAGAGGAGATCTACAGCTCTCTCCGGGGGGTCACCGAGGCCATCCAGAACTTCAGCTTCCGCAGCCAGGAAGACTTGATGGAGCCGCTGAGACGAGACGGCAAGAGGGACGGCATGGTGAGGAGGGAGTTACAAAATAATAATAAGAATTTAAATAATTCACTGTATGACCTTATTGTAATTCACTCATACGGTAACGATGCTGATGTTTTGTTCTTCAGTCCGGAGTCGGGGCGTCATCCGACGGCGACGTGGTGGGCGGACGCACAGCCTTGGACAACAAGACGTCGCTGCTGAACACGCCTTCGCCGCGCTCCTTTGCCGGCCCGCGCTTCCGAGACTACAACCCGTACAACTACACAGACAGCATCAGCACGCTGGACAAAGCCGCCCTGAAGGAGGCGCTGTACGAGGACGCCGTGGAGCGAGACGGTGAGACAGCGGTCGCTCCTCGCCAGAAAGAAGCTAGAAAAATGTGTTAGATTTTATTGTTGATTAGTTTGTCGCGTTCTCTCTTTTAACGTGAAACCTTTTCTTTGCAGGCAGCCGACAAGAATGTGTCGAAAACAAGATCATGAACCCCAAAAGCTTCCCAGGTACAGACACTGAGCTCAACTTAAATACCGACAGCTAATGATGTGACACTGATAGAGCAGTAACTAAAAGATTGAAAATGAGTGACTTCATTTCTGTTTCTCTTTTGGCTGATTTAAATGTGTTTATCTGAGAGTAAAAGTACGTTGTTGTTTCTGCCGTACTCCTGCAGCAGGCCCCGCGGAGCAGCTGGAGCTGGTCGGGGGGCTGCTGAAGGAGCTCTCCCAGGGCCAGGCTGGGGAGCGGGGCCCCGAGGAGAGGCGGGGGACCCTGCTGGAGCTGCTGAAAGTGGCCCGAGAGGACAGCCTGGTGGTGTGGGAGGAACACTTCAAGACCATGCTGCTGCTGCTGCTCGAGACACTGGGAGACAAAGACGTAAGGACAGAAAGCGAAATCTCAAAGTCTTTCATCGCCTGTAAAGAACTGTTTGTAGAAAACCTTCTGACTCCTCCTTCTCAGCACACGATCCGGGCGCTGGCCCTGCGAGTCCTGAAGGAGATCCTGAGGAACCAGCCGGCCCGCTTCAAGAACTACGCCGAGCTTACCATCATGAAGACGCTGGAGGCTCATAAAGACTCGCACAAGGAGGTGAGGACCAGTTTCAGTTCTGATTTTGGAACGTTATTTCAGAGTTGGACCCTAAATCACGCTTTCGCTGCAGGTGGTGCGTGCGGCGGAGGAGGCGGCCTCCACGCTGGCGGGCTCCATCCAGCCGGAGCAGTGCATCAAGGTCCTCTGTCCCATCGTGCAGACAGCGGACTACCCCATCAACCTGGCCGCCATCAAGATGCAGACGAGGGCCATCGAACGCATCTCCAAGGAGCCGCTCCATCAGCTGCTGTCTGACATCATACCCGGACTCCTGCAGGTGAGACGCTCTTCGTGGAGCGACACATTCGGTGTTATAATCCCTCAGTATGTTGAGTGGTGAAAGTCATCCGTCGTCTGCTGTTGCAGGGCTACGACAACACTGAGAGCAGCGTGAGAAAGGCCAGCGTCTTCTGCCTGGTGGCCATCTACTCTGTGATCGGAGAGGAGCTGAAGCCGTACCTGGCTCAGCTGACCGGCAGCAAGGTACTCTCACTTCCTGTCTCTAAGCTGTCACTCATTTAAAAATATATTGAGTCTAATTTAAACAATCACACACTGTTAGTATCGGCCCTGCATGGATGGGTTGGGCAGAGAAGCTGCTGTGGTGGAGGTGAGGAAGTTAACCAGACAGACTGTTTGAGAACACGTAAAGATCTCACCCCTTTAGAAACTCCCCTTGTGGCCGTTTGGGGAGAAAAACAGGGACAACATCTGCAGTTCTCACTAACCGTCAGGCACCAGAGGGTGTTTTTTAGAAAACTTACAGCTTATAGGAAGTGTTTTCAAACTGTATTTTTCTGTTTTACTGATCGGTTTGACAAATACACGTTCAGTTCAAGAAATCTAAACACACAAAAACTGTGGCGTTAGTGTTTGAGAGAGTCCTCTGACGCCGCTGCTGTTTCCCTCCTGCAGATGAAGCTGCTCAACCTGTACATCAAGAGGGCCCAGACCTCCACCAGCAACAGCAGCAGCTCCTCCGACATCTCCTCCTACTAACTCCCTCCGCACACACGTAGCTTTCGTCCTCTCCGTACCACAGAAACCATTTTCATTCCACCAGCCGTCATCACGACCAGGATCATCTCGATGTTCTTTGCAGGACCAGGCCAAGAACCTCATCTTCCCAACCAGCTCCTGTTGTCAAAATGATTCATTCCTTCAGCTGCTGATGGATCTTGAGGCGCTCATGCTGTCGTGGCTCCAGTTTCCGGGCCTTCATCTTGAAAGCTTAGCACATTTCTGGGAGGTCAGGTGATCCTGGCAGCTAAGACGTTTAAAAAAGAACCGCCATGTTCTTCATCCACTTTCACACTAGAGTCATGAGCCTTAAAACTTTTATCTTCCACTGGCGAACGATGGAAACAAGTGATAGTAGAAACCATTTTTTAGAGGCTGTGTGCCTACTTTGTCCTCACTTCACCATCTAGACCATCTTCTTTCATCGACCGTAGCTGAGGTGATCCTGGTAAATAAATGAGTTATCCTGACATCGAGGCCGTCTTCTTAAACTGAAAGACCTGAGGTGAGTTATCGTGGAAGAAAAAGAAAAAGAAGGGTTTTTGCGGTGTAACTTTCTTCCTCTCGGTGCAGGAGGAAACCTGTGGCTATCAGTATTTTTATTCATTTTTAGTAATCCACTTCTTTGAACAATGTTTTGCTTTGACACATCAAACCTTATTGTATATTGAATGTAAAGAGCTTAAACAGGGTGTGGATCTCCCCTGTGTTCCTCCCTCCTGAACTACTGCCTCATTGTACCCGTCGGATCAATCTTAAAGGCGTTTGAACATGTGCATTTGATGAATTTTGAGCCGTACTGAGCAGTTAAAGAGAGTGACGCTATAGTCTTTAAAAGGCTGAATTTAAGGGTCCATCTGAAGACGAATATGTCAAAAATAATCAGCTTTGATTTAGAAGTTTGAGTGCAACAGCAGCACGTTGTTTCTTTTCTGCTGTTGCACTCATTAATTGATAGTAATATGTGTTAGCTTTCAAAAAAATGTGAAATCCAAGTTCATCTTAGTTTACAATGAAGGATCATTTGGCTGGCCAATGATTTAAAGCACTACAGTGATGGAAAACAACGTTGTTGTGGGCCCAACTACCAGCAGAAGATACCAGTGTTGATATTTAAATGTGCAGAAATCATATTTACGGTGTGAAGAAGAGAAGAACTTATTTTTTCCTGTGTAACACTTATCAGTTCCCATTTTAAAAATCTATAACAGATAAAATACTTTATAAAATCTTACTTCCTGTTTGTCAGATCAATATAAAATAAAGATTTTGATTTTTTTTCTACCTGGATTGAAAGAAATTAAACGACGTTTTTGCACAGGGTTTGCTTAACCCCTTTAACTATTCATATTATGCATCAAATCTCATGTATGTTGCCTTTATGAGGCCTGAAAAATAATTTTTATATCAAAATCATGATTTGAAAGAGCCATGATTTTAATTATAACTTGCATAATTAATAGTTTAATAGTTTGTCTTCACTTCCTTTCAATAATTAGTCATTATACAGCGTTAATTTCCAAACACAAAAACACAACGAGGGCATGCACTGGATCAAGAAATTAGTATTATGTCTGTAATGTTGCTGGAAATCATTTCAAAACACGTGATTCACACCCACTGGATGTTTTTTATGTACGTTACACTCAAAAGTTCCAGTTTAAATGTATTTAATTAAATCATGGAACGTATTTCCATGTGATTAAATGGCTTTCTTTCGGGGTTAATCAATTATGTTGGACAAAATGTCAGACAATCCCCTGAAGACCAAGTTTTGTTTTATTTGGTCTGACTAGCAGTCAAAACCTCAAAGATGTTGACTTTTCTATCAGAAACTACAAGAGCTAGCAGATTAAAAATTTACTTCTGAAAGAAAACATTAACGCTGAGCCCTGATCGCGATATTCGTCCGAGAAATATATATATATATATTGTCCTATATAGCTGGCTTTTATCCATATAGTCATAGAATTTGACTGGTATTGTCACTGTCATGCAGTTTCAGCAGTAAGAGAGGTGTTGTCTTATAATGGGACCAAACACATTCACACAATCTCTGGCTGTTAAAACTCATAAAATAAGCCTTTTTTGTACGGACTAGATTTTGTAGTACTGTAAAGTTAGATGAATAAATTTAAAGGAGCTGGCTGTGGGACAAAAAAGGTAGAAAAAGTTCAAAATCTTTAATTTACATTTATATGATGAACATTGATTACAATGTCAAATTAAATTTACTTTCTTTTTCTATTATAGATTTTTTTTTAAATGGGAAGTTAAACTGTAGTTAAAAGTGTGTCATGGACCTAATTTGTCATCTATATATGTTTGAAATCATACAGCAGATTTGTAACCAATTTCAAAGACTGAAAGTACACAAAATAACAATATAATGATTTTAGAAACATAAAACCACTGAAGGACAGAAGTGATATTTGTCCTTCAGAGGGGTGTGAAACTGAAGGACCAGTTCTCTTTAAACTGGGAGCTTATTGGTTTTGATGTCTGCTGTCTTACAGGCTTGGGAATCCACAAGCTGTCAAGTCAAGACTACTGTGATTTGTTGAGTTTCATTCCAAAATTTTGAAATGTATACGTTATATTACACTAAAAAAGTAACCTAAAGGTCAAGATTGAGGTCAAATGTCTCAAAGTTAGTGTCAGTATTTTAATTTATGGCAGTTTTTTTGGCAGTGAACTGATGATCAGTGGTTTATTATTCAGTTATGCTGATGATGACAAACTGTTCACTATGTATTCTTGTTTTAAAGAGACGGTTTTGGGAAGAAACTCATCTGTATCAGTTGTTCCTAAATTGAATGTAAGTCACTTTTTGGACTTCGACCTTTAAAATGTGAAATGTTTTAGCAAAAAAAGAAAGGAAAAAAAAAAAGGCCTAAATCTGACAGAAAGATTGACAGATGCTACTAAAGCAAGCGACAATGCTAATTGATGACTCGTAAAGTGCCAGCGTTATGAAAGTCCCGAAAATGAAATGAAAATGAACAAAGTATGAAAGAGAGTGTTTGACCTTTGGACATTAGCAATAAACTCTTGAGAAATCCAGTTCGGATTTTCACGTCAAAGCACTGTAAATTTTCATTGTGTTCCTCCTTTGAGACGCTCTCGCTGGTCAATGTACAGAAGTCTTTTTTTTTTTTTTAAGTATATTACAATAAAATGTTACTGCTGCTTATTATAATACTAACAAACATGCCTAATAACTCCAGCATATGTACTGTATCTCCACAGAAAAGGTTTAGGTACAGCTATGATGATTTAGAACAAAACTTACTGACTGAACACTTTAATTTTTAAATCCTCCGACCGGTTGAACGTTCCTGGTGCTAAACTCCGCCCGTCTGGCGCACAAGGCAACTTCAAACACACGCTACAGAGGAGGTTTAAGTCCCGTTGAAGGTTGACATTTTGGGAAATACTCTACTGTGCTTTCTTGCCGAGTGTTAAGTGAAAAGATTGATACCACGGTAGATGTGAAGCTAGTTTGCTTAGCGTCGGGAACAGGTAGCCTGGTTCCGTCCAAAAGACCCTGTAGACAGCCAAGACATCTAATTTGATTCATCACAAAATGTGTGATAAAGGATGACAACTTAAATTTAGTTTTATTAAATGTTTTTAGCATTTATAAGTAATATATAAACAGCAGGTGTTATATTCAGAGTGTATATATATATATATATATATATATATACGAAATTCACTAGAGCGATATCTCAGACCAAATAAATGTGACAGAAATACCAAGAAGTCACCAAAACAGTCTTTGTTAGTCTTTCCAACAATCACTAAAGCTGATAAAGTCAAAATAAATCCTTAATTTATCAGAAACCTCACCAGACTCAATAGACAAAATTGCTAATTCTACCTCTCAAATCAATGTAACATGATTCAAATAGGACAGAAACCAAATAAACAGCGCTGAGCGGCTGCTGGCTTTATTAAGTGGTATCAATCTGAACATCGACTCTCCTGTAAGTTAACAAATTGAAGTCATTCTTTAATGTGAGCCCAGAAAGTGGAGGATGCTGTTACTGAAGGCCTTATTTTATCTCTTCAGATACTCTGTTGGACTGTTAAATGTACTGTACCAGTGCCCGTTGTCACTTTTCTCTCTCAGTTGGGAGAATTGGACAATTTGATCAGCTTACTTTTTGTTTTGTTTTTAACATTCTGGACTGAATGTTTCCTCCAGAACCAGTGAAGTGTGATCCAGTGTTAGCCTGCTGCGCTTCATGTCCCTTTACTTTTGTACAGCGTGTAAAACCTCTAAACTACGTCCGCATGCGCACTCCACAGCAACCGTGGGATGTTTTTATCCGCCTGCGTTGCTGTCAGATTAAATGTATTTGAGTAAAAAGCAGCAACCACTAACGGACATTTAAAAGCATACTTTTTGATTTTAATGAATGTGTGCCTTTGGGTGAAGATTCCTGGCCTGGTTGTCCCGTACGATACTAACCCGTACTAACACTACACGACGCTGCTTCTTAAGGTGGACTGACATGATAATGTGAGAGCAATGAAGAGATGCAGTGCTGTAAATAAGCTTCAGTCACGATGCATGGCTCCCGTTTTAGTTTTATTTTCCTGTGTATGACTGTATATATTTACATGTTTGGTTCTCTTTCACCTGTGATAGAACTTGAAATAAACTATCAGACTTCTCCTCTGTCGTCTTTGTCGTTTATCACAATAATACAAGTTTATCTGTTTTTGTCTCGAACCCTAAAATGGTTTCTGTATCCTTTGGGGGGGGGGGACAGTCATTAACCCTTAAATGGACAAGCACATATAAATGTTTTGGAAAATGTATCTCCCAAGATATTTCCCCAATTTAAGGCATATATTTAATTTTTTTTTCCTGCTTTTAAATAGTTATCATCTTTTATAACATTTTCTAAGCAATAATTAGCTACTTTATTTCATGTTTTATATAAAAAGTTTAAAGAAGTGAAAATATTATTGATTATCTGGAGAGTATAGGCTTCAAAATCTGTGATTGATTATCCCAGCTCTGCCTCTATATGTGGGCAGTGTATCCTCCAGGGTACATTCAATGCCTGATTATCAGAGCTGTTACAATATATTCATTATTTTAACATATAAAATCATCCCCAAGAAACAATATTGCCTCAAACAACAAAAAAAAACAACTTTTACCTGGAAATTCCTGAAATAAAGAGCTTACTTAAGTTTCTTGTCTTTTATGTAGATTTAAATGTTTCTACGTTGGAATAAAGGTTTGCAGTGACGTCAAAATAAAAGCAAATGTTTAACAAAAGAATAAAACACATGAGAGTCTTTACACTCTTTGGACTACATTTCCCAGGTGCACTTGCAGGGAAAAAAAGCACAGGTGTTCTCTATTGGACGTCATCATGACCACTGGGATCCTGTTTGTTTGCCTGGATGAAGGTTTAGTGACCAAACCTTCGACTTTATCCTGAAACATAGAGCCTCCTTTTCTCCATAGGTCCAGATTTGGAAGGTAATTTGGGAATTTTATTGTATTTCTTCTAGATTATGTTATTATGTTATTATATTTTTAATCCCAAATGGACAGTCAGTGTGTTTAAAGTCAGTGTGAAGTGGCGAAACCACCACCAGATGGCGGTCTTAACACTCGATTAGTTTTTAATAGTCCACTGTGTATAATTATTGATCAGTTCTAGTTGAATGTGTCACTTTGAAAATACCAACAGTATCATTTGAAATGGGTTGAACAGTAAAACACAGAGATATCTCATGACAAAACCTTATTTATAACTTTTATTTATTATAACTATAATTATGTGTAACGAAAATGAATTTCCCTCTGGGATTATTAAAGTATTTCTGAATCTGAATCTGAATCTGAATTATTTTAGTATGACATTTTAAAGGAATTTGTACAAAATAAAGTGGTTTTATTTTATATTACAGACTGTAAATTGCACATCATATCGTTCATATGGTATTTTCATATTGAAAAACTTCCTTTTGATGGTAAAAATTTGCATTTATACAGTGAAATATGGATTAAATGGAATAAATAAATAAATATCACTGACACATTTTATGTACATTTCATATAATTTTCAACAATAACAGCAGAGAGCAGCTGATAAACTGAACAATGAACACAATAACTGCAGGAAGTTTGTGTAAAACCAGTAATTCACTCTAATAATCAACTCTAAATTAACTATAATAAGATAATACGTTTCTTATTTAACAGTTTCGATTTTATTTAGTTTTCTTCACAGAAATGAACTAAATGCTGAGATGTAAACTGACTATGAGGAAGGCCTCGTGACCCCATAGTCAAGCTTTAGCGACCCCTAGTGATGGGCCCCGACCCCCAGATTCAGGAGCAACAGACTCATTTGTTCCTGCTGCCATTGGCCAATTAGATAACTTTATGTGACCTCTGCATTGTGTTTGCGGTTACAGTACGTAGTTACTGCTGGTTTCCATCCGATCTGCACACAACCGATCATTAAGCATTATTGGGATGCATAAGTATGATGCTTATAATGATTAATAATAAAATGGAAAAAATGCCAATAATAGAGCATTATAGCTCATTGATACAATAATAATAATATAATGATATAAAGTCAACTTAAAGAAAATGAGTCAGTGGCACCAACTGGATCGCCTGAAACACTGCACACATTTAAGTTCACTCGAAACAACTTCAATAATTAAAGTTTGAGTTGGGTTTAATTAATGTGAATGAGTGAATCCAGTTTTAATTTAACTTTTATTCAAATGTGTTTGACATTGTAGTGACGTAGAATCATGAAGCTGCATAAAATGCACCTAAAATAATGTAAATAATTACAATTATAGTTGTAAATGTACTTTCAACTGCTGCTACTGTAAGACAATTTCTTCTTTCTCTTTTTTTTTTTGGCATTTAGCTTTATTGACAGGACGGTAAAGAGACACAGGAGAGTGAGAAACAGCAAGAGCCCCGAGCTGGACTCGAACCCGCGCCGCTGCGGTACAACCCTTAAGACTGTTTCCTCCTGCTTTTATTGGACACGAGGCCTTCAAGTACACGAAGTCACATTTAAACAAAACCAATATCTGCATCATAAACAGTTCAACACACACATAAAAGAGACACAGACTCGTTATAAAGAAACCGGAGCAGCATCGAGGCTCCGGTGAGGAGGAGGAGGAGGAGGAGGAGAATGTTTGTCCCCGTAGAGCTCCACTGATCTGATCGGGCCATATTGGTGATTACAGATGAACAATCTGCAGGGCCACGCTCTCCAACTCCAACGCTGTATAAATCTTTAAACACATCCCTTGGATCACTGGCTCCTAATGGGGCGTTTCATTCACAGATCAGAGCAGGGCGTGGGGACGGAGTCCTCCCCACTAGTCAGACCTTGAAATGGCTTTGTTAGCATCTCTCAGCGGTGGGCCATGTGTCGTTTCATCAGTATGCACACACTGTTGAAAATTAATTTCATTAAAGCCTCCCCGCCACCCTCCCTCACTTACTGCACCTCCACCCGCTCGGCTCCTCCTGTTTAAAAGCCCTCATAGTGTATGATTAGCGCGCATTTCCCCAACCTGGCTGGGAGTGGCGGCTAGGTCGGGAGGTCGCGCAAATGAAAGAGAACGACTTCATTGTGAGATGACTGGCCCATAAATCATCGGCCGTTTTCTATAAATCACGGCAGATGGCAGGGAGTGAGCCGAGGCTCATGGGAGCTCGTTGCGGCCCCTGTGCATGATGGGAAGGGCCGGGCTCTAAGCTGCGGCAGAGGCTGGCAGAAGCGCGGAGGTCACTCGCAGTTTGTGGGATGCGGAAGACGTGAGGCGCAGCAGAGGCCTCCGGGCGGAGGTCACTTGGAGTTTGCTGGAGGCCTCACGTCTTCCGCATCCGCAAGCTGGAAGTGACCTCCGCCCAGAGGCCTGGTTGGCACTCTCCCCTCCCCTCCCCCGTCCCGGCAGCTCGGGCCCGGGCTCACCTGATGAGATTCAGACCCCGGAGGTCCACGTTACAGCACCTCTCCACGCTGCCCTCCATTTAACAGGTCTAATCTGCCTGCTTAATATGGAGACAACTTCATCCCCCCCTTGTCCCCGAGCTGCGCTGAGACCTGTCAGGTTGACACTAAAATGTCCGCCCAGGAGGGGGAGAGATCTGCCAGGCCGACTCACACCTTCATTATTCATCATGATTATTTAACAGAACAGGATTCACCCGCACTGCAGCCCGCTCTGCTGCAACACTGCGCGACTTAATGTAAAGTTCCTGCTGCTCCTTTAACTCCTAATGAGTTTTAACAAACATACATAAGTACCGTCAGTGCTCGTTCTCATAGTCTCGGGATGAAGAACTGTTCAAATACACACAAAAACAGACATAAAATAATAACACAGCCCAACTTTTTATAATAAATTATTATTGTTCTCTTTCTGTTGTGATCAAAAATATCAATCTGAAGCTCAATTCTGTCAATATTGGTCTAAAAACTGTTAGTAATTTGTTAGTAAGTAAAATGTTAGTAATAAAAATATCTGAATATTCTACTTAAACACTGAAGTCGGTTTGAGTTTGAGATTTAAAGTTTAAAGCAGGAGGCACATCTCTCTCTACTACTAGATTATTTAGTGTTATATCAACTAAATTATCTGGATTCGTACTCAGAATGGGCGGGGCTTAAACCAGCAAACAACCGTTTCTGTTACGTTTTATTTCCTCATTTTATAGCAAACAACAAATGAAGCCATGAAACCTGCTCTCTTCTTCTTATCAACCTTAACTTATCTTTTGTACCAAATATTTGATTTAAATTGTGTATGAAGACGTAGTTTAAACTCATATGAATTATTAGGATTATTTTATATTGTCACATTACCCTGCCATAGACAGTGAATGAAAGACTCAATGCAGCTTCAATGTCTACAAGGTTTAATGCTGTATTATTATTATTATTATTATTATTATTATTATTATAGCTCTTTATACGGGCTGGTCGGGGGAAAAGGAGCTACATTAATGAAAAAAGTTAGAGAACAACTGTAATAAACAACATTAAATGTGGAATAAAGGGATTTAAACAACCTACAAGCAGTAAAACTGGATTTAAGTCTCAAAAATACACAATGTATAAAATAATACACAGGAGGTAAATGATTTGTGGAAAAATAATACCGCAGGTATGTGTCACTGTAGAGAATTATTCTTCTGAGCAGTGTACATTATCTACTTTCACTCTTATATTGCACATATTTTACAGTGATCCTCCTGTAAATATGTGTCTATATAGTTGTATTTATCTCATTCCATTTTCACTTTAATCTGATTTTATCTTTGTATGACTCATTTTGTTGCCCCTACTTACATAATATGACAAATATAACTGAAGTAAAACTGGTACATTTATTTAAAGTAAATCCAGACAGAGTTTCTTTTATTTCCCTCTCGTTGCACAGGGACGTTGTTCCACTTGGTGCCAGTAGAGGGAGCTCTGACAGTAACAGTGGAGTTCCATGTGGAGGAGAGACCAGGTTCAGGCCTCCTTAAAGCCGCTGGATGCTCTGGAACTGGTCTCATCGTAGTGCTCGGCGGTGTGCCTACACTTCCCAGAAACCACCTGTCGGTTCTTCTTCTGTTTGTTCAGCCTAGCATACTGGAGCATCCAAAAGGCATTTTAATT